GCGCGCGTGGGGGGGCGGCGGGTTGGACTGCGGGCGGGCCCCGCCTCGGTGCTCCTCCCCGCGCGGGCCGGACCAGGCTCGATCCTTTGCATAAAGCCCTCCTCTCGGGCCAAGGTGGAGGAAGTTGGGCGCCTCGCCTGGACGAGAGGCGGGAGCGAGCCGCGTCCCTGTTGTTTTCCGTACGCGGGAGCGGGCAGGTGGGTCCGGGGGGGCAGCGGCGCCCTCGCGGCCCCCCGCCCGGGTGTTTTCGGGGGCGACTCCTCACCCGGGGGGAAGCCCAGCAGCGCAGCTGACCCCGGCGTCTCAGACCCGGACGGTGGGCTCGCCCCAAGCATCCTTCGTGGGAGCCGCGGGGACGGGGGCAGCTCTGCCCGTCTGAAGACCCAGGGGCGCGCGCGCCCCGTCCGGCCCCGCCGGAGCCTCTCCCTCCCGCGGGGCTCCTGCCGGAACCTGGGGTGAGATGGCCGCAGGCGGCCCGGCGCCTGAGCCTCGGATCCTCCTGTGGCTGGGAGTGCTTCTGGCCCGCTGGGTCGCTGCAGGTAAGGGGTCCAGATCTGGACGGAAAAGTTGAGGTTTCAGGTGACAGGGAGGGGGAAGAGCGAGGGACCGAATTCCCCCTACTCGTCCACTCTTCGTCTGCCAAGGGTCGCTGCAGCTTCCAAAAAAGCCACCCTGGGAGGGTCGCGTGTTTCCTGCTCGCTGCTCGGCCCGCTGGACAGGAAGGAATTTTCCCGGGATGCTTGATCCCGGGCGGGGCTGCAGAGAGCCAGCGGATGAACAGTCGCGTGAAAATGAAGTGTGTGTTATTTTTTTTTAATTTGGTGTGTGTGTGTGTGTGTGTGTGTGTGTGTGTGTAAAACATGGAAGTGAATAAACTCGGGCACCCTCCACTTTTCTCCCTATGCTAGCCCCCGCACCCCTTACACCTGTAACCTGGGGATTCTCTACACCCTCCTGTGTCCCTTCCTCCCCTAAGCTCCCTTGAAGACTGCCCTTTACTTCTTCGCTTTCTTCTTTGTTCTTCTTTAAAAGAAAGAAGCCTTTATTTTGCAATCATTTCATTCTTAAAGGCAAAACCAACATCCCAGTCTGAAGAGGACTAGAGGAAAGGTCTCTCACATATTTCTTTTCCACAAGTCCTCTGCCTTGTCGCCCAGGGGCGGGCGGGAGAGCGGGGAGAGACTAGAGGGTGCTTTGTGGAAGTAGATGGAATTTAGAAGACTGGAGAATGTTGTTCTTTTTAAAAATGCACCGGGAATGCGTCCTGCAGTGCTGGGTGGGGCCAAGGGTTTCCTGAGAAGGCTGGCGCTTAAGTTCACCCAGAAACGCTTAACCTTTCAGCCCCCAGTTCTCTGGTGCTCCTGGGGAAGGTTCGAGCAAGAGCGGATTCTGTGACAGTGGGGCTCAGGCTGGCCTGCGGTGTGCAGGGCAGCCTGTCAGGCAATGAAGGAAAAGCCAGGTGAGGCGAGGAGGCAGGTAGCCTGCCAGGATGCATGCTGAGTGATGCCATCTGTGTTGTCCGGACCAGCCCACCCAGCTGGCCTCTTTTGGCACCCTGAGCTTCCTAGCAGCAAGTGTCCAAAGTTCCACATTGTTAGCTCTCACACGTTTTTGTTTCGCATTGAGCTACCCTTTCAGAACAGTACAACTTTTGCAGAACCTAGGTTTCCAAGGTAGCTGGAAAGAATCTGAAGATCGGACACCACCAGGTCGGCTTTCCTCCCTGGAACTAAGCAGTAGTCACCATCTTCTTTTCCAGAACTTGTGAACCCCAGTTTGTTTCCAGTTCACATCTCTTCCTATATTGGCGTCCTGAGGTGGGACGGATTACTTTCACATTATCATGTTGTAACTCTAAGTGATTGGACCTATACCCATGAGCATAGGAACAATTGCGAGGATGGATCAGGACCGGGCAGTGTGTCATTGGGTGGTGCATCAGGTAGTTAGGGGTCGGAACCAGCTTGATGGCACCTAATGACAACAACAATACAAATGAGGTGCTACTGGCCTATCAGGGGGACTAGACAGCTTGCTAATAATGCAAATAAGGTACGCGGTACCCTTCTGTGGTTGGGCCCATGCAAATAAGGTATATGGCACCCTAACAGGGCACTGGCTTGTTTTGCCACCCATTAGGCTTGAAAGAGTGGCAAACCCAGAGGAGTGAGGGGACCTTATTACCTCTAAAAAGAGCCGGGCGTGGAGCCCACCGTTTGGACTCGGGGGTCCCTGTGTAAACATCCTAATCCCAAGAGACAGAGAAAGTTGTGATACCAGAGATGGCTTGAGATGGCAAGAAGCAACAACAAAGAAATGGTGTCAGCAGACCCGAAGACCAGCCCCAAGGACGAGCTGGTTACAGTAGGTTTTCCACCCAAGGGATCAAGAGAGCTGAGTGTCTTCGGACAAGAGGCTTCTTAGCAGAGCTGGGTGCCTCTGGGAACTTACCTAGGAGCTAAACGGCTTCATAACGCTTGCCCCCAAGCAAGCCAGTGGCTGGGCCAAGGGAGAGAGGCCTGCCAGTGGATACAGCCAAGGAACTGCCCTAACTGAACAACTGTACCTTGGGTTGTTTCTGATCCTGAATTGTAAACTGTTACTTCTCTAATAAGCCCCACAATGGTATGATCTGAGCGTTCTGAGCCACTGCAACAGATGATTAAATTCATCAGAGAAGTTAAACCCACTAGAGAGTGTCTGTCGAGTGAGGGCCAAGCGATCTCAGAATTGGTTAAAAGCTTGGAGAGAGGAGGTTTCCTGACCTCAAAGAAATCAGCGTTGGGCTGATGTTCATGGTGATTCTCTCCTCCTCCTCCTCCTCTTCCTCCTCCTTCTCCTCCTCCTCTAGCAGGTAGAGGAGGTCAGATGATCCCAACATGATTTTTACAATTACCACGCTTGGCTTTCTTCCGTGCTGGCCCCTCGGGGCATTGGACTTAGTGATCTCTGTGCTTGACCTCCTGCAGAAGTCGAAAGTGATTGGGGATGGAAGGAGTATTTCTCCCCAGGTGTCTGCATGGATATTAGGGGTCCTTGGGACAGCAGAATGCTACCTAAAATCCTTGTGCTGGAGCTCACTGGCTTTACGGTGACTGCTGCTCACCCCCCAGCAAAGCGTCCTCCACTACGATGGAGATTTAGTTATTTTGTGCATCGCCAGGCTCACCTCCTTGTCTTGTGCTAAGGGGTTCCTGAGCTTGGAGTATTTTTGTTTTAAAAGTTGTCTTAGGGGGAAAATGGATCCTCTTCTACCACGCAACGCTACATGAAATCCGTTCTTGTCACCACACATTTGTTAACCCCGTGTCACTCTTGAGGAAAGTTGTTAGGAAAAATATAAATGTTTGCTTCTAATCCCAACTCTGTCAATGATAATACAAGGGCACCGTCAGAAAATGGTCCTTTATTCCAGATTCTGCATGTAAGCTTGGAGGACACACCAGGGGACCCTGCAGACACCAGATGGACAACTGCTAGCAGCACCGACTGTTACGATGATATCTTGTGGGAGACCAGTGTAAATCCCAGGGACCTGGATGCTAGACACTTGAATAACAATCACAGCTCTGCCAGTGACTTGCATATGAGTGAAGTCAACTGTATGCTTCCTGGACCTTGATTTTTTCTATTGTAAAATGAGGGAGTATAAGTTTCAGCAATGGCCCTAGTGCACCAGCCAGAACTAGCCATACCCTGTCTGTTTCAGGCATCACTAATCAATGACTGTTCTTTGTTGAGCCCAGACTCAACCTCAGCCTTGAACCTTGCACTCCAGGCAGCCACATTTTGTGATTGTCTATCCCATCACTTGCTGATCTCTAAGGTCGTCTTATGCTTCAGTAGTTAAAAAGAATCATAGGTGTGCAAAGCCAGGAGGGGCAATGCAATGCTTTCAAATGGATTCTTTTGTGAGACGTAACCTTCTTTTCCTTGGAGGAGACAACATTGGCTCACTGTTCCTTTACTTCTTGGCCCAGGAGCCAGGGAAAGGGGGTCTGCAGGTCTCCTGAACACACATTGAAGTATGCAGCTCTACAGTCCTGAGCATTTTCCTCTGTGGGAATTCTTACCTGAGACCTTAGGTTCCTGGGCTGGTCCCTTAACAAATCTTAGTCACCTGTTGTATGCTAAGTGGCCATTCCAAAGCATTTCTTCCTAATATGGAATTTCTAGCATTAGATGGTATTCTCAGCCTTTCAGCAAGTGACTCAGATTCCTTCCCCC